AAAAAAAATGTAATAAACATTTTAATGCAATGGAATATTTGTTAAAGTATTAGAGAATATTATATTTCCTTTTTTCGTCTGATAAACATTTTATTACCGTTCCGTATTGTAACGATAATAGCAACGACGAAATTAATTGTCACGGTATTGGTTGGTAGTTACATAAACGCATATTAATAAAGAAATTAAATTAAAGGGGAGTAAAAATGTGGAAATGAATGAGATAGTTCGTTTTGAATTTGTCATGCATTACAAAGAATTCAAATATAAATACAGAGAAAAAGAAAGAAAAAAAAAAGGAAGAAAAATAGCTCGTATCTCGTTGGACATTTCTTTTGTCCCCCCCCCTCCCTTCCCCCACTACCATTAGGATCGTTCGATTTGCATGAAATTTTTATGATTACAAAATATAGAGAAAAAAAAATAAATGAAAGAGATCGATAAATGGCAAATTTTATTATCAAAAATAATTCTCATATTTATTTTTATCTTACTATTGTACAATTATCTTGTTAATTATCGAATACTTATTAATAACGTAAACAAACATTAAAATTAAACCTGTGAAAAAAGGAAAAAAAAAAAACAAATAAAAAATTACGTTTCATTGAACGAACCAATCGAAAAGTTTTAACGATACTACTCCATAATAAAACCGCAGGCAGGCAGCAGCATCCTGTAAATTCTCTCTTATCCACGTGACACGTCATATCCCCCCATAATCCCGTTATTACAGTTACAATACACTTAAAACAACGCCCGAGATCCAATTAAAACTAATCTTTATATATATATATAAAGAAAAAAAAAAGAAAAAAGAAAATAAAGAAAACAAAAAGTAGAATAAAGTTAACGAGAGAAAGAGAGAGAGAGAGAGATAATTTGTTTTTTCTTTCTTCCTCTCTCACTCGCTCAAACAATTTCCCCATGTTCAACAGGTATCTCTTTTCTTTCTCTTCCCACCCCTACCCCCTTTTCTTAAAAATTCCCATTAAACAAAATGATTTCTTTCTTTTTCTCTTTCTCTCTCTCTCTCTTTCTTTTGTTTCATTTAAAATATACATCCTCGAAGTGAGCCATTAGAAAAAATAAAATAACCTCGTTTAATAAAAGAGATATATAAATTGTTATCTTAGAAAAAAAAAAATAAAAATTTATGTTAATATAATCAAGATTTTTTTCTTATCCAAAATTTATTAATATTATTACTAAGTTTAYTCTTAGGGAAGTTGTTTTTTGGACGGGTTTAATTAAGATGAACACTATATTTATCCGTTGAACGTTTCGTCTCTATTTGAGACTTCCTCAGCAACTAAAAT